CGTTTAATGACCATTTTTTTTTATTCCCCTTCAGATAAATGCTTATTGACTTGCAATCACAGAGCAGTATTAATCTTTAAAATATGCAGCTCAAGTTGTTTTTATTTTTCTGCCTTTATACTTTAAAAAGGGTTAGGTATCCAAATATTTGTAGTGTTAAAGATTGTATTCTAATTGCTGCATAGAGAATCGTGTTAAAATTTTAAGTGTTTCCCACTGGTTAATCACTTTATTTCATAATTTGGTGTTCATTTCTTTCATTATTTGTATGCATCAATTTAATAAATTAAAAAAGTATACAATTAAGAACAATGTGAAGTAATAAAAATCTTAAAATAAAATGGCAATACTCACACGATATTTATTTTATTTGATTCACTAATATTTTAAAATTTTTGTGACATTCCGGCACTAAACTGTTCAGAGTTCAGTAATTAAAGCATCAGTTCCCCATTTTTAATCTGCCCGTAATTTGATTGCTGTTTAGTTGAACTGTTGCGAACCTGACTTTTGCATATTACAAATGCTATCAGCAGTAGAATTTAAGTCTTACCTTATATCTCAGATAGCTATCTGAAAGGACAATATCACCAGCACAATAAAACTCAGGTCACTATTTCCAGCGCTTAATACTCAAGTCACATTTGTTTCTATAACCAGTGCTCAATATTCAAGTCCCATTTTCACTTTAACCAGCGCTCAATACTCAAGTCACATTTGTTTCTATACCCAGCGCTCAATATTCAAGTCACATGTGTCACTATAACCAGCGCAACAGGTCAGAACGACTCACTAAAAACGGCACGCACATTATACCAGTCCATTTATCGATTTATTGATCTGATTTTAGATAAAATCGATAATTGTGATCTATAATTGAGTACACTCCGCAAAGCGCCTGTTAGGTTTTAAACTGAGTTTTCAGGTCAGTGCACAGTCCACTTTGATTAGGTAAGTGGTCTCTGAACAGGCTTTTTCTGTTGTTTTTTTTAGTTTAGTGGTCAACGAACAGCCCTTTATATTTCTAGTTATATGGTCAGTAAACAGCCCTTTATGTTTTAGTGGTCAGTAAACAGCCTTCCCTGCTTTTGTTTAGTTCGGTGGTCAGTAAACAGCCCTCTGATTTTAGTTCAGTGGTCAGTGAATATCCCTTTATGTTTTTAGTTCAGTGGTCAATGAACAACCCTTTATATTTTTAGTTCAGTGGTCAGTAAACAACCCTCTATGTCAGTAAAGAGCCTTCTTATTAAGGTCAGCAAAAGCTGCCCATTTAGATCAACAGTCTTACAAATAGTTTTTGTATTTAAAATCGGGCACATATATTATAACACCAATTGTGGACGTTTTTACCCTTATCCCATTGAAATATAACAGTGACATATAACACTATTCCTCATATAGATTTACAAATAAAAATACCCATCACACTAACCCTAAAAAAATATAGTTTCTAAATGGAAATTTTTTTAATAGAAAAATCGTTTTTGAATAATACTTTGTTGTAATAAAAGGTTAATGTTTTTTTTTTTGTCATAGTTAAAGTTATTTACACATACCCGAGCTTGATTTACGTAGGCCTATATTTTTTGTAAGTGGAAAATAATGCGAGTTTATCACGAATGAGGCAATGTCTTTAAACTGGTTTAGAAAATATGACCCATTCTTTTGTTGTTAATGAGAGCAGTGTAAATAGAGTTCAGCTCAGCGTTTTGAAGTGGAGAGGTGGGCGGGGCAGTGGGGCGAGGTTTCAGTCTCAAAGTGGGGGTCTGTTTACATTTACCTGGCCGAGTGGAGGGTAGTTCATGTGTGAGGGTGTGTGTACTGGCAGGATGGTGCGGAAGCAACCCGGAGGTGGTTGGTGTTTCCTGGCAAAGTAGCAGATGGTTGGCGTTGTGGGGCAACCAGATGAAGAAGATGATTGTCGTTAGTACCTTATTCAATGTTCTAGAAGTGACCGGTCACGTGACTGTTTGACCTAAAATGATCATCGTAGTGACTCAACACTGTGACTCACTTTTGGTGGCGGTGAAGCCAGGTCTTGCAACACATGAGGGGAGGTAATGAGTAATAATATTACTAATTTCAGGGTTATCACCCAGTATAGGCAAGTGGACGGGGGGTGCGGACCACCATTTTGGGGATGACACCAA